TCTTTTGTTTCGCTTCATTATTGTTTGGGAAATGGGTGTCTTTTTTTAACTTTTTTTTTCCTTAATGGATGGATGAATATTTGAATAAGCTCGTATATTGATACCAATAATAATAATAATAATAATAATAATAATAATAATAATAATAGTAATGATAATACCAATAATAATAATGATAAGAATTTTAGCAATAATATTGATAATAACCGATGGGTAAATATTTGATTAAGCTCGTATAATAATAATAATAATAATAATAATAATAATAATAATAATAACAATAATAATAACGATAATAATAATGATAGCAACAATGATACTAATTATATAGACAATAATGATAACAATAATAATGATAATAATGATAAAGTCTCGTAGTTTCTCAATTAATCATTGTACATTAAGAAAGGAACGAGCAAATTACCAATTATAACTTCATAAACAAGGTACTTCAAAAATACCCTGAGTTTAGTTAAACAACTTTTAATCAAACTGTGTCAAAATTAAGCGAAGTTATTATTTGTAACTGATTAAACACCGTTCGAATAATTTCACTTATCTTAATGTCATTATCATAGTAATTAAAGTCATATGATTTTTTTTTAATCAATTTTCCAACATCTTTCTCTCTCTCATCATCATCTTCCCTATCAACATAATTACTCCCTTTATTAAGAACACAAGTACCTTTTACATAATACTAATTACCCACAAGCACCCAATAGCAATACGAAATAAATCATAAAAGTTGCAAAGTTGCCAAGGAGAAAGGTCGCTATTAATATAGTAATTACCTAATATATGCTTCCTAATCTACCTTCGTTTTTATATTATAATTTGTCGGCGATCAATTAAGCAGTAATCTATGCGTGTCTTATTGACCTGTGAAGGAAGCAGGCAGTCAGCTGTTGCAGGAATTGAGGGAGGAAGGGAGGGAGGGAGAGGGGGAGGAAGGGAGGGGAAGTGAGGGAGGGAGGGGGAGGGGAGAGAAGGGAAGGAGGGGAAGTGAGGGAGGGAGGGGGAGGGGGAGGGGAAGAGGGAGGGAAGGAGGGGGAGGAAGGGAGGGAGAGAAGGAGGGGAGGACGGGAAGGGAGGGAGGAAGGGAGGGGAAGAGGGAGGGGAGGGGGAGGGAGGGAGGGAGGGGAGAGCGGGGTGAAGGCAGATGAGGTGATAAAGGGGTAATAAATGTAGAGGAAGAGAGAGACGAGAGGAGAGAAGGAAGAAGGAGGGCTGGAGGGAGGGGTGAGATAGGGAGGGGGAGGGAGAAGAAAAAGTGGGGGGTGGGAGGAGGGAGGGGAAGAATACGAAGGGGGATAGGGAATGACGGAGAAAGGAAAAAAAGGAAGAGGGAAGGGAGAATGAGAGAAAGCATGAAGGTAATGCAGAAGGGAAGGTAAAAGAAAAAGAGAAAGGGAGAGGAAAAGAGGAAGAGAGGAAATGAAAAAACGGAAAGAGAACGGAGGGAAGAGTGGCGTCTTGCTGTCTGTCTGTTTTTCTCCTTTTCCTCTCTCTCTCTCTTACACACAGACACACACATACACGTATGCAAATGAATACTAAAACGGTTCCTAACATCCTTTAAAATGACGACAAAAATGATAACCACAACGAAAATAATGACGAGAAAGAGGATGACAAACCAAAAAAATAATCAACAAATAAAACAAAGCCTGTGTACATCTCACGTCGCACTGTATAGCCCCCCCCCCCTCCCCCTAAGAAAAGAAAGAAAAAAAAATATATATAGATATATATTTTTCTTTTTGCAGTAGGATCTCCCAGCTACCTCCCCGCTGTATCACACTGTACCACACTGTGTTACAGGGACACACACTCTCTCTCTCTCCCCCCCCCCCCCTCTCTTAACACTGTATTACACTGACCCTCCATCTTCTATTAATTATGCTGATTCTCCCTGTCACATCTATACCTCGACTTGAATACAATGAATTTGCTCAGGTCTTTATAACGAAAGGTTTATCGCTTCGCTCGCGTCCGCCATGACAGTTTAATTCCGGCGCAGTGGCTCCGTCGCGCCCTCTGTGGGGATGGAGGAGGAGGGGGGGGGGCAGGAGGAGGATGGGGGAGGAGGAAGGGAAGCAGAAGGAGGAAGAGCAAGGGGAGCAGGAGGAGGAGGGGGGGGCAGGAGGAGGAAGAGGAAGGGGAGCAAGAGGAGGAGGGGGAGGGGGAGAAGAAGGAGGAAGAGGAGGGGGAGCAGATGGAAGAGGAAGAGAAAGTGGAGGAGACGGCGAGACGACGGCAGAGAAGAAGAAAGAAAAGAAGGAAGGAGAAGGAGTTGGAGGACAAGGAGGAGGAAGGAGGAAGAGGTGGTGGTAGAAGACGAGAAGAGAAAGAGGGAGAGAAGAAAAATGTAGAGAGAGGATAAAGAGTAGGTGGAGGTGAAGGCGAAAGAGGAGGGGGGGGGGGGCAGGGAAGGTGGTGGAAGAGAATTAAGAAGGAAGGAGAAAGAGGAGATGAGAGAGAGAAGAGAGAGAAAAAGGAAAGAGGGGAGAAGGAGAGTATGGATAGAGACAGAGAGAGAGAGAGAGAGAGAGAGAGAGAGAGAGAGAGAGAGAGAGAGAGAGAGAGAGAGAGAGAGAGAGAGAGAGAGAGAGAGACGAGACAGAGACAGAGAGACACACACACACGAGACAGAGAAAGAAAAAAAAGAAGAAAATCTCCAACCAAGACGCTCATACATCCTGCTCCCAGCCCATCTGCATGTCAACTGGCGGCCGCACAAAACCGAACGCCGATGCCGTCTCGTCGCTGGCCATTTGAAAGCGCTGGATTAACGAACGCCTTGTCTCGCCTGTTTGCTAATATTATGCCTTGAGGTCTTTGTCGCCTTCTAAAGGGGGGAGGGGGTTAGGGAGAGAGGGGGGAGGGGGAGGGTAGGGGGTAAGGTGGAGGGTGGAGGGGTAGGGGGGAAGGGGAAAATGGGGGAGGGAGTTTTTTTCCCGTTGCTAGTATGATTCTTTTTTTTCTTGTCTTTGTTTTCCTAACTATTAGCATTATATTTCCTATCATTATCATTATCGTTATCATTTTATTATGAGAATTATCAATATCATGATTATTTTATCATTATCCTACTACGTCCTGTACTATTGATTAAACTATTTCGATTACGATTATTATCAATATCAAATATTGCTTTCACAAAAAAAACGAAAAAAAAACGAAAACGTACAATGTTATAAAAGTAATAAGATAATAAACTAAACACGCAAGAAACTAACCATAACAATAGATATCATTAGACTGATGACCAAAAAATAGAGAGAAAGAGAGAGAGAGAGAAAAAAAAAAAACGTAAACAGACGAAGAAATTAAATTCAAGCTTCCCCGCTCTCATCCTGGAAGATCTTAAACCCGGGTTGTACAGAGTCATATGAACGTCTCTCGAACAGCCCATTCAGCAAATTCATAAACATATAAATACCCTCATTATATCTTTGAGTACATCATTCTTGTCATGTTCAATGTTCAGCAGCGCCGTACTTACAAGAATATGATCATTGTCGGTTTAAATTCCATAATGTAACCTGGATTTAAAGAGCCCTAACAGTCGCGTTTCTATCCCCCCCTCCTCCCCCCACGCCGATTTTCGCACTAAAAACGCATGTGTTATTTACCATTCCGTGTTTTTTCTTTCTTTTTCCTAATTGGAGTTTACTGAATACGGTAGCGGGTTACGATCGCTTATTAAATCCTAAATTCAATGGGAGGGGAAAAAAGGAGAGGACATAACGGGGGGGGGGGGGGGAAACAATTATTTCGCGAATCGTATCTTGAGCACATTTATTAGCGACGATAATGATGCGCAAGTCGTTCTTCATTTTTTTTTCCCGCGTCTTGACCGCTGGGTTATGTTTCCTTTTATACCCTTGTAGACATCTTCATTTGCTGTTTACAAACTTACAAGACGATTTTCAGAAGCAGTTTTTTTCTGTTCATTTATTTATTTCTTAAATGTTTTTTAGAGCGTGAATATCGGTTATATTTTCTGAATTACAACGAAGGCAATAAAAAATACGATCGTAACCATTAGTCATCGCCAGCAATTCGACCTATCATCCTTAACGCCTCCCTACCTTCTTTTAGATTATCATTACTATCCCTTTACTCTTGGCAATGTTATGATTACCAACCATTGGCCACTTAATGCCATTAGCGCTATATAACACCGGCACTGATATACGTGACGTGTATACGAAGGGGCCGTATCAGCTTCTGCGCGCGGTTGGCATCTGGCGGAGATAGGAGCGGAAAACGGCTGTGACGTCAGCGTTATCTCTCTCGTTACGTCATCTTGCTGACCTTCTCAAACTTTTTTTTTTACTTTCTTTTTCCTTCTCGCTCGCTCTCTCTCTTTCTCTCTATCTTTCTCTTTTCTCTCTCTATCTTTCTCTTTCTCTCTCTCTCCCTTTCTCTTTTTCTCTCTCTCTCTCTTTCTCTTTCTCTTTCTCTCTCTCCTTTTTACCTTTCTCTCCCCTTGTGTTAAGCAACGTCCATTTGATTATTTTTATTTGTATTTTTATCAAAGATTCGTTAGGCCACTTGTTCGCCCGGTGAATGACAAAAGATAACAGAGATGGGTGTATGACTATTATTTTTTCCAGGAAGAATATTAAAAAAAAATCGATTTCCTGACACAGCACGAGAGAAATTACAATATCAAGAGACAATGGAATAATTTTATGAAATAGCCGTCAAAGAAAATATGGAAGAACTTCGGCAGTCGTACATACACATTATTATAAAGGCATTTACACTTACACACTAATGCACGCACACGCAGAAACTCCCTTTTTCCAGTCTCGCTCTCACTTTAATTATCGCTCAAATCCTCACTCTTCCTTTTACACTCTCACTCCCACTCCCACTCTCACCCTCCCTCTCACTCTTACTCCCAATTTCACTGTCCCCCTCTCTCTTACGCTCTCACTCTCACTCTCACTCCCGCTCTCTCTCCCAGAACTGGCACTGGCACTTAC